CGAATCGAACGGGCGTTTGTTTTGGAAAGAAGATGGTGAAGGAAATAGAGGTGGCTAGTGTAAAGTTTGATTATTTGCCTCAAGAGACGGTATTTTTAACGTGAGGAAATTAGTGACAAGCTTGTTTTCTTAGGAAGCGTTATATTCGTTAGTGTATCAACGAGTGAAGTACGACGGAATGCTTTTCGCATCGCTTTACTTTATATTACAGAACCTCACAGTCTTTAGTTATGCGACAGAAGAATGCCACCAGTGCCTTAGTTTTGTTAGTTTAGCCCACGTCTGGGTAAGTCTTGAGTGCAGCATGTTTGGTTTTTAAATTACAGCCGTCCGACGAACGACCACCACTGGTAAATATTTAATGCAGATTTACTAGAATTACAATTTGTTTCACGACTGCATGGCCTTTAAACAGGCACGTCTTAGATATATTGTAACAGCAAAATAATTTGAATCTTGTCAAGGGCATTCTAACTTTCGCACACCGTTGAGCTGTTGGCGGTGTTTGAAAAGCATTGTGGTAGTTTTGTATCCAATTTCACTAACCACCCAAATTACTCAAACCATTTTCTTTGATAAGTTGTAATTCCATTCGGAGAAATTCCCTCGGCTTCGTCAAATCTACTGAACCCCAGCTGTCGTGATACATTGGGTCGAAAATGCACATTTCGTTCACTATCATGGGGTGAATCTAGTAAGTTATTTTACATTAAAATGATCACATCCTGCAAACTAGCCAGCGAAACGTTCGTCCATCTTGTGCGGTTTTTTGACTCAAACGAGGGGCGAGTGGCGATCAGTCGGGCGCGATCTTATCGTCATGACTTTGGGTGAATTTGCTCACCGTACTAGTAAATTTTGCTAGTGTTCCGTTCTCATTTCATTTCTCAAAAATAGGACGCGCAGCCTCAGTAGCGTTTTCTCTTAGTTCCTGTCTATGCTTAGATGGCTTTCCTGCTGTGACGCGCGGATGTCTCTGGGTGTCAAATCAACTAAAAGCATGATTTCAACGAGTGGGGAAAAAATTCGGGGGACGAATGTGATTGCATTGAGTCTGCCTTTACTTTTACTCCTGAAGGCTATAACCTAGCTCAGATTTGTCCTAGGTGAGTGTCTAGGCTCCTGATGAAGGAGTATGAGAGTAATCATGCCTAAAGTACTCTCCAGAAAGTGTGGACGTTTGCCCGATTTCTCCTGTAAAAGTTGATGCGTACTTCGACAATGGTTTGATGAATAGCGCATGTGTGTGTGCTTGCGCACAAGCCATCAACCGACCTCTTCTTCGCGTCTACCCAAATGGAGAACTGGGGTCTATCGAATTGATTAATTTCCTCAGGAGGCCCTAACTTTTGGGTCCTCTGATAATGCAGCTAAGCACGTTCAACTTCATAGACTGCCTCGGAGGAAAATCTGCCACCACGCTCCGAATGTTTTACTGTTTCAATGTGGCGCCGACACCTGCACTACCGCACTAACCCGTTCAATGGATGTTCACGAAGCAAAGAAGGCATGCATCTGCCCCCCTTAGATCAAGAATATTTTGGCAGGTGTTTTGCTGTCTAAACCTCAACTGATCTGTTTGCCGCTGGTGATCCAGTAGAATTAGCTGTCAAGACAGGATAGTGAGTACATGCTGCACACTTCTGATCTGTGGACTCAGATTAGAAGATCGGGTGTCATGAATGTGTATCATTGGTAGCAATCGTACTACGAGTGTTGAATAACTCATTTACGATTTGGTTGCGAGCCATGCTCCCGGGTGGCCTGTAATTACGCAATGATGCGGCGTTTTGACGCCCATTTTTTGTCTGCATTACTATGGTTGGCGTTTCATAAACGATCAGCATTTGATTGGCTAATGGGCGCCTTCGTCTTTGGCCAATGGGGTTGCAGTTTTATCACGTCCCTTCTAGCCATCAGAAGTTAGTTGTTTCGCGCTTTCTCCCTTATTGGGGGCTCATCCGTTCGTACTTATCATTGTTCTTGGTTTATGCACGTAAATGTACTCAATTTCAATCATCATCTTGGGGATAGTATATTTTGAAGTCGAAAGGGATTGCATCTAGAACCTTCGCATTATCGAGTCTAAGCAAGTATTCATGTCGTGATTCTTCCATCTCAGTTTTACTGCAATAGTTTAGTGATTTTATTAAGCTATTGAGTATATTATCAAATATAGTGCATGGCGCGTAACCTGAAGATGATTGTTAAACCTCCTTTTCCTGTGATTTTAACGTTTGGGTAAGGTCGTAGTCGGTATGCTAAATGGGAGATTGCGCCTCCTTTGTTCATAGAAATTGTTTGTATTAAGCCTGGCATTTGTGTTTCACAAATGCTACCTTTTTGAAATATATTGGTAAAAGTCTCTATTCCACCCTATGTTGGACTAGTTCCCACTAGTAATGTTGGTGTTTTTACTGAAATGATGTTGAAAAAATAGTCGTTTTCAAGCTCTTGTAATTGCGCAAATTTTACTGAAGTTGAGATGTTTTCTTTGAACAACTAATACCCCGGTCAAGTTTATGAGGCAGAAATGTGCTTTGAATTGACTTTTAATCGCGTATCCTATCCATCTTCAGTACCTTTTATGGCTTATAAAATTTACTGAGGCTTCACTCTCCCTCTCTCTCGATCTCGATGAGTAATAAGCGGGGTGAGTACTTTTCTAACGGTTGCCTGAGACAATTATGAGAGTGATGCACTGCCTTAACTCGATTTTTTCAAAGCCAAGTATGCCGTGAGCCTTTATTGCCATTGTCAAGATTACCAAACGAGCAAATGACTTCGACATAGGCTATCTTCATTTATTGGCTTCTTAAACATCTCTTTTTTTCATTTGGATCTCCGTAGCCATAAGTAATGTTGACTAATTTAGGTTGTTCATGCTACTAAAAAGTCAGTACCCATGGTTATTCCTGCACAAATTGAATCCTGCTGATTCAAGAGAAAAGCTAACGTTAATTAATGTCCATGTGCAATGACTGCCTGGATTTTGTGACTGAAATGGTTGGAAAGCGAATTCGATTTTTCAGATGTCATTTTGGCACAAGACAGGTTGTAAACCCTCTTGTGCTATTTGCATTTCCTTCCTATTTTGACCTTACTGCCAAATATACTAATTCAGCATGCAACAACTTTGAAACTTACTCACTGTTTATTTTTGTTAAGATTTTTTTGGAGTCAAAACAGTAAAATGTGTTCTTTGTTCTGTGTAAGAATGTTGCCGAATTTCGGAGTATGCCTTTTTTAGAGGAAAGTGGCCAATTAAAAATATCGTCACCTAGCACCTTTTGAGCTTTAGAAACCCTCTTTGCGCGCCGGAGTGTGGGGTTGAAGCCATTTCATAGATAATTTTCATCCTTGCAAACCCAGCAAAACAGACGTCTTCTTTGCATCCAATCGACGTTCTGGTACGAGAAGGATAGGATTTGGCCTTTTTCGGGACTTTAATGAATAGCTGTGTGGCTGAACTTTTAGTAGCTTTCACCCTTCCTTTATACACGCTTAACGCAAAACTGTTTCACCCAGAGCTACTAGAAGTTACGATCATGAGTTTAGCGCCTGAAATCATTACAAAGTAGTTTCGTTACAAATGTATGGGAAAAAAAATTATCCCATCGAAGCACTGGAGAGCGTCAAAAGTCTTTTTTTTATAACTTCACGTATTTTAAGCCAAATTTAAATAAGCCGAAGGGTTCATATCCTATTCCAAGCATTGATTTTAATGCCTTCTTTGTATGCTCCTTCATTCGCCGTCAAGCCGATATTTTTTACGGCAGCGATAAGTTTTCAGAAATCAGGTGATTTTGACCTATCAAAAAAGTTTATCTGAAAGTTAACATTGAAGTCTGTTCGGCATTCCACTACAAGTACACCTCAAGTGTCGACTGATTTTCGTAGAAACATTTACCTGAAATCAAAATCCTTTTTAACAAACTGCAGCCACCTGCCGGCATCATCCTATTCATTTATTTTTTGTGGAAACATTGAAGGTATTTCCTCTTTATGGATTCATCTGCTGTATCTCTACAGTTTCAATTACACCTCTAACATTTCTCATCTAGCGGGCAGGCGGTCTGTTTAGCTGTTGATTTCCTTTAAAGCATGAGCAAAAGTTAGCATTATTCTTCTTGAGAGATAAAGGGCTTTAGACATTAATTTAGAGCCTTGACTTTTTCTTATGAAGGTTGGAGGGCATACGAGTTTTAGTGTAAACCTACAAGACTTAGGCGTCGATAGCAAAGGTGGCTGAAAAGGTTCGTGCATTGCACACGCCTATGTTTAGTCAGTTACAATTGTCTTTCAAACAGTTGAAGAGATTCTTGACCATGTCATTGAGTTTATGCCTACAGAAGAATCCTTCCGCTCCACTTCTTTTGCAAGATAGATTGAAATATCAATTTTCGCCTTATGTTTCTGGTTTAGCAAGCACATTCGACCGTCATGATTGAGCTGTCGTCCTCATGGGAACTGCAAGGCCGACGCAAGCTCTCTGATATTCTCTTTATCAAGGAGGTTCAGCTGGATGATCAGTGTTGTGGTGATGAGGATACCGGTGGGTACGTTACACTACATTGCATTTCATTGCTCAGCCGAAGTGGCAAAATTGAATATTTCTCTGATTTAAAGACTGAGTGAGCGTAAGGATATGGAAGAAGGTTCAAAGTGCTTCAAGTTCAATCTCCTCCGGCTTGAACAGCAGCATTGTGCTGCCTTATCGAAGGATGGATCTGCCCCGAGGCTGTAAATGGCAGTACTATCTAGTACAAATAGTCTATAGTTGAAATGCATTTAGTTCTCACTTGCACACGGTTTGCCGTGCGTGCAATACAAGGTTACGGCGGAAAACTCTAGTTTGTTGTTTTTTATATTGCGGTAGAAAAGAAGGCAGCCGCTTCTCTTTGACATAGGACGTGTCGCTTTAAAATACGGTCTTTGTCTTCCTATTCATTCAATTTGTGGTGCTTCTGAGGCTTTCGGCAGAAGTCACAAGCCTCGACATTTAAGCACTTAGTTTGGAAAATATTAACGATAAGCTTGTGAAGCAGATGGGGATAAATATGAAATGTTGGAGTGATTTCATCTCAACATGTTCGCTGCCAACGTCGCATAAATGTAATAGTCCACACGTTACAAACGTGCATTAAGTATTTCGTATCCCATCTTAATAGCCAGTTCCATCAGATCGTTGAAAACATTAGTTGACTTTTGAACAGCAAACTGTATACAAAACATTCTTGCTCTGGGAAGGATAGATGATTTTTGCTTAGGGAGCAGCTATTGAATGGTCAGTGCGGTATTGCGGGTGTCGGTGCCATATTGAAACAATAAAACATTCAGAGCATGGTGGCAGATTTTCCTCCAAGACAATCTATGGAGATGGACGCGTTTAGCTGAATTATCAGAAGATCCAAAGGTTAGGGTCTTCTGAGGAAATTAATCAATTCGATAGGCCCCAGTTCTCCGTTTGGGTAGACGCAAAAAAGAGGTTGGCCGATGGCTTGTACGCAAGCACATAAATGCCTACAGCACCTGAATCCATAATTCTCTACGTATCTGCCCGTTTTCTCTTAATGCTGAAAAGCTTCACCATCCGCTAACCTATTTTCCATCAAAACGGAAAATTGATGTCTTCCCATAGTACTTTACGCGTAATGATTGAGGCAGAAGTCGAATTTTTCATTATACTAGGAAATGCGAGCAATTATGCCCCTTGCCCCTTGATGGCTTTGTAGTTAAATCTCTTGCTATATTCAGCTTTTAATGGGGTGGGGAGAGGAGTGGCATCGAAACCGTATCCAAACTTTGTCCCATTACATAATTCACAATGAGCGCTTAAACCAAATTGAGGATTCTGAGCTTAAAAACAGTTTCAAGGGGCACAAACTGTATTCGTTTTATTCACTGTAGTGGTTTCATTTACGCATTCACACATGTGGTTAACTCGTAATTGGCCCAAGAGCAGCTTTGTCATGTGGAGATTCGGCAGTACAGCTGAACTGTCCTGGGATAGTCTGCCTCACTTTGTTAACCCGCGTGCTAACTTTTCGACGTTGCAAATGGTTGTGGCTATGAGTGTTCTTGTTGTATTCATCACGTCCACTATAGGATTAGGCTCTTGTGAATCCAACCCAGTGTCTACGATTAGGTAGGCCCCCCAGGCGTTAGCTAAATGTTTGTTCACAGGACCGCAGAAGCTGCGGGATGAGAACTGAGCCATTGCCGTTGAAATTTTTGCTGTTATACAGACACGACCTCTTTGAGGTGTCGACACGATTTGATTACCTTTTGAGCCCCCCGGCATCTCATCATCATACTGTATTGTGCTTCTTCTGAAAAATGAGTAGATGTTCGCGGGTTCGGGTTTTGCGTCAACCAGTTAATTCTTCCATCACTGTAGTCAGCTTTTACCACTACGTATGGTGCCGCTACAGTAGCATATCCTCTTATTACTTACCCGAAAAGTAAGTGTTCCAATGTGACCTTGACGGGGTAAGTAAGACGATCCATAAATCTCTTAATGTTAGTGACAGGTTCGATTGTAATCCCGAATTTCGCAAGTTATCGGGTTAAAGTCGTGATGTTTTTAACAACTCTTTTCCCATAAATTACACAAAAACTCGAATATCTCTGTGCATATTTCCTTTGATTTCCATGGAAATGCGTTACCTGAGCCATTATTTGCGCCTTTTTAAGACATGAAAGTTGAGAACTAATGTTACTGTGGAAGCGTGGAAAGATTGAGACTTCTGGCATAAGCACGACCTTCAGTCACAGTTTTACAAAAGACGCATATGGGCCCAAAATTTGTTTAAATGCCGATGTGCAGAAAAGTCGGAATGGTATTGCTGTAGAATAGGGACAGGGTCACTGCTCCGCACCGAGTGTAATTTATGCATATTTTAATCACTTTTGTTGTGATTGCTTGTTTCAAAGCAGATATTTTATGTACTCAATCATTCTTCCTGTTTTGTGCCTATTTTAAGGCTGTTCAGCTGCCCACTTGGGTTCCATTCAATTACTAGGAACATTAAAAAGTAGCATTTCTTCACGTAATTCAGCTAGTTCCATTAGCACTTCGAGCACCTCTATTGTGGACTTTTTTATTTGTTTAGGTCTAGTATCGTTCCACATGGTAATGGTCTTCTTGTATAAAACAAGATTGGGATGATTGCTAGAAGCAGCCTTCGACAGCCCTTCAGTATCGTTTTTCTCGAGGCTAGTGAACCATGCCAACAATTTTGGAGTGATCGAAATCGATGGAATTTAAAGAGTCTATGTGGTTAAGTACCCACTCAATACAAATACCAGTCTGTCAGTGCGATATAAAATACTGAAGTTTTCTTCCATCCGTGCCTCTGTTCTTTTTTTCGATCAGCGACCTGGTAGTGGATGTCTCTTGCGAGTTTGCCTCAAAACCGGTGATCCTGCAGCCTTATCTTCATCCTGAGGTGAGCTCCGCTGGTCCCTGTTGCATCATGATTCGGTTGTCAACACAGCGTCTCCTACGCATCGTCCAATTGGTGCTTATATCCTCCTCACCGCACATTGATTTTGTTGACCGTTATGGTGAAGCCCTAGCACGTATCGGAGGAGTCGCGGTACCTGGCTCGGAAAGTCTCTTTCGCTGCTCATCTGGTCGTCTCTCGCCTCACACTGAATGCGTTGTCAGAGTGAGTTCAGGTTGATTTTTTTTCGCCGTTGAACTCGCGTTCAAAACCTGCGTGCTTTGATGTATTTGTGATAACTGCTGTAACCCTCGACTCAATTTTTAACTTTCAAGCCTTCATGTTTGTGACTTTGTTCTGGGAGGTAAGGGCTGTAATCCTGGGTCGGAATTGCTCACTGTTAAGTTGGAAAAAGTCGAGATCGTGCAACCTTTTGAGTAACTTGTTTGGATAATTTATCCTTTAAACCATTGCTCTTTTCTTCAACCAATTTTTTGCCATCAAACTAAAAAAAGCAATTTTGTCTTCAATTCCTTTGATAATCAAGGATTCCTCTATCATCTTTAAAATACAAGCTGTGAATTTCATCTAGGTTGTTATGCAGTTGGGTTGGGCTTCCTCGATTTGTGTTCGTGATGGGTGTTTTGATCCCTCAAGCAAATTTTGAATTTATCGAATTAGAAGAAGAAACGGATTTCCTTCTCTCCTTTTGAGGCTTTGTCTTTTAAGGTGAGCGGTATGAAGCCTGGGTTATATTTTGATGCCTATTGAAAGGTCTGTTTGGCTGCAAATTGAGTTTCATCTTAGAGATGGGCTCCTAGCCTTCAGGCTGGATATCGTTGCAGTAGAATATAAGATTAATTGTTTTGGATCCCTTGGATACTTCTTTCATAATTGTGGCCTTAAAATAGGTTTTATCTATTTTCATTCCTATGAATTTATTACTAATGGGAGGAATGACTGCCTGAATTTTATTATCACTAGCTTGGAAGAATAATCGTAATCGCGCCCTCCTTTTGAAAGTTTTCAGCATTGTACATTCGAATCACTACAGTATTTGCACTAAACTTGTTTTGACTTACACTCGCAAATCTCATATCTTACGCGGCTTTGTGGCTAGGCTGCTTAATTTTAAATTAGATTTTCGGTGAGGTAGTTAATAAAAGGTGAATGAGAAAGATCCA